CCGGAAACGGAACGTAACGGTAACGGTACGGCCGTCGCCGCTACCTACTACTCCACCGACCGATTACATCGCCACGACTCCTCCCCCGTTCCCCCCCCCCCCCCCCCCCCACCCCACCTCCCCTCGTTTCCTGCCCAGGAGCCCATCGGAGGTCGCGCCTCGACCCATACACATCCTCCCTCTGTCGGCGATCACCACGATGAAGGTCGCCGCGAGCACTGTCAGGCCTCGGGCTGGTCTCCTCGTGCTCTTCCTCTGCCTCTGCCTGACTCTGTGGCTCGTCGAGGCTCGACCCAGCAAGCGAGCGCCCTCGAAAGAATACGACTATGTCGTCGTGGGCGCCGGCACCTCGGGCCTCACTCTTGCCGCTCGCCTCTCCGAGGATCCAAGCGTGACGGTGGCGGTGCTCGAGGCTGGGATCGACTACAAGTCCAACTTGCTCAACCAGCAGGTGAGCCGTGGCTGCGTTTGGTCCTGTGAGCCCTTCGGCCGCTGTACTGAACCCGGGCCCCCGCCTCCGTCGCCCTCCCCTTCTCCCCCTCGCTCTTGGACAGCTGACCACCATCCCCGGTGCCGACGTGATCGGCGCAGGAGCCAGCACGGCCGACATCCCGCAGGCCTTGATCGACTGGGGCTTCGTCACCGAGCCTCAGGCTGGCGCAGCGAACCGTCGGGTCCACTTTGCGCGCGGCAAGTGCCTCGGCGGCTCCTCGGCGCGCAACTTTATGATCTACCAGCGTCCGACCCGCCAGTCGCACCAGGAGTGGGTCGACCTGACGGGCGATGACTCGTGGAGTTTCGATGCGCGCTACGACGACTACCGCAGGACGATGGCCGCCACGGGGCCGCGGCACGAGCTGCGCAGGGACACGCCGGCGGCCGCGTACGAGGCGGATGCCTTTTCGCCCGCCGGGGGGCCTGTGCAGGTCAGCTTCCCCAACTACGCCCAGCCGTTTTCGGCGTCGCTGAGCCGCAGCCTCAACGAGCTCGGGGTCGAAACGGTGCGCGGGCACAACGGGGGCAGCATCAACGGCGTTCAGTACGCCACCTGCACCATCGAGGCGCGCGGTGGGCAGCGCTCGACGTCGCGCGCCTTCTACGACCAGATCAAGGGCCGACCCAACATCCGCATCTTCACCCAGGCCCGTGCCAGCAGGATCATCTTTGACACGGGAGGAGCGCGACCGAGGGCCAGCCAGGTCGTGTTCGAGGACCGCTCGGGGCTGTTTGGCGTCCTCGCCGGCAGGGACGCCACCGTGACGGCCAGGAGGGAGGTGGTACTGAGCGCCGGCGCCTTCCAGAGCCCGCACCTGCTCATGCTCTCCGGCATCGGCCCGAAAGGGGAGCCGGCCAAGTTCGGCATCCCTCTGGTCGTCGACTCGCCCCACGTCGGGCAGAACATGGCCGACCACATCTTCTTCGGGCCGAGCTACCCCGTCAAGGTCGAGACGCTGACCAGGCTCGCCTCGGATCCCGTCTACCTGGCGGCCCAGTACCTCAACTTCACCCACCAGCTTGGGCCCATGACCAACAACGTGGCCGACATGATCGCCTTCGAGCGCTGGTCGGACTCGACGCTGCGCTCGATCGGAGCCGATGCCCTCGCCTCTTACCCGCCCGACTGGCCCACGGTCGAGTACCTCTCCGCCCCGGGCTACGTCGGCAACTTTGACAACCTCTTTGTCGAAAACGCGCCCCGCGGCCTGCTGGGCACGCGCAACTTTGCCACGATCCTCGTCGCCCTGGTCAGCCCGCAGTCGCGCGGCACCGTGACGCTGCGGAGCGGCAAGGCCAGCGACCTGCCCCGGATCGACCCGCGCTGGCTGACGGACGTCACCGACCAAAAGGTGGCCATCGCCGCGTTCAAGCGGGTCCGGGCGCTGTTCGCCTCCAGCGCCATGGCGCCCATCCTCGCGGGGCACGAGACCGAGCCGGGCCTCGACGGCGTCAGGACCGACGACCAGATCCTCGCCTGGATCCGCAAGAACCTCATGACCGTCTGGCACCCGGCCTCGACCGCCCGCATGGGCCGCAGCATCGATCGCGCCGTCGTCGACGCCCAGTTCCGCGTGTTTGGCGTCGACGGCCTGCGTGTCGTCGACGCCAGCGCCTTTCCCTCGCTCCTCCCCGGCCACCCGCAGAGCGTCTGCTACATGATCGCCGAGCGCGCCGCCGCCCTCATCCTCGCCGACAAGTAGGCCTCGCCTCGGCGGCCGCAGCCTCGATGTGCTCCGGCCCGCGCCTCGAAGAGGTCCTCTGTGCCGGTCCCCTGTTCTAAGGGCCATGCGTCGAATCCCTAGCAGCTCTCGCCCTCTCTGGCCCTCTCTGGCCCTCTCTGGCCCTCTCTGGCCCTCTCTGGCCCTCTCTCCCCCTGTTTCCTTGTCTCTTTTTATCTGCGTTTCTCACTGTATGGATCGGAAAGGGAATGGAAGTTGTGCCTGTTCATGAAGTTACTGAACCTGCTCTGCAAACGGATATAGCGGATCGGGAGCAGGGTTGCTCTCCGAAGAAAGAGGAGCACAAAGGGTAGAAGGGGCTTGGGACTCTGACACTTGCCCATACGCAAGGATGCTGGGATGGTCATGGAATGCTGCCGAGGGGCAGGGCTACGCGGAATGGCTGATGGAATGCTCGTGTGGCAAGGCCCCATTTGCACAGGAGAGAGGAAATGCCAGCTTCTGCCTCTCTGCCTTGCACTCTGGTGCCTGACCCAAAGGTGGGGTAGAAGGTAGGGCGCTCTCGTTGGATCTGGGGCCAAAAGCTGTCGAGATTGCGGCGGGAAGAAGCCGACGCGTTCCGTTCGGTTCCGGAGGCCCCGGAGCGGAGCAGCGGAGCAGTCAGGCCAGCCGAGACAAGGCTGGGCACGGCTAGACGGCCATGGCGCAGCAGCAGCAGCAGCAGCAGCAGGTGTTGATCTCGAGCTCACCACCATCCTACCGCCCAAACCCAACACCACCACCACCACTGCTGCCAGCGCGCCCATCCGTCCACAGGGCCGCCCTCGCTCGTTCTCTTCCTCGTCTCTCGTATCAGCCAACCCCTCGACGTATAGTGCCCGAGCATGCAGGGTGCCT